TGGCTCACTGCAACCTCAGTCTCCTGGGCTCAAGTGATTTCCCTGCTTCAGCCTCCTAAGTAGCTGGAACCACAGGCTTGCACAACCACACCCAACTAGAGACGGGGTTTCACCATGTTGGCTAGGATGGTCTCAATCTCTTGACCTCATGATCCGCCCACCTTGGACTCCCAAAGTGCTGAGATTACAGGAATGAGCCACCGTGCCCAGCCTGAGCTGCGTGTTTTAGTCCTCTTGTTTGTAGAAAAAGACAAAGCAAATCTCTCAATGGTTGGGTGTTTAAAATAGTTAATCTCGGACTGCTCTATAGATCTATATTCAGATAGCTTCATTTAGTTATATTTATTTCAAAATAGGAAACTCTTCAGTACAACTCATACTTACTTTCTAATTGTAGTATTGAAACAGTTGTATACCATGTTGTAAACTTGAAGCTGCGAATAAAACTTGTTTTGCTTAGAAACTTTACAAGTTTCTAAGAAAGAGCTAGAAAATGGTTTTAATAAACATAGAAGTTATTGCTTCAAACATGGACACAACTTAAATGAATGGTATAAGAAACTTTTGTTTATATAGCACGTATTAATTTTGTGTGTATGTATGGGTAGACATGCACACATGAACGCATTAACAAAGTGTGTTTTTATCTTCTTGACTCTGCAGTTAGCTTTAAGTCAGTGCTGGAACTAGCCAAGTTTGAGAAGTTTACTTTTTAAAATCTCTAATTAAACTGAAAGGGGGCAGGAAGCATACTTGTAATCAGATGCTGTCTTTCTTTGCCTCTTGATATTCTAGTTGGAAGACTGAGGGGAGCAAATGAAGTTGCTGATAAAAGCATGTGTGTAATTCTTTTATTGTGGCCTTGTTAACAAGTCGTCTTGTTGGGAAATATGGGGTGCATTGGCTTGTTTCTGAGCCCCTCTGCCTCTAGTCCATAGATGTGGGCAGATAGTTTCTGGGAAATCCGTGAGTTGATACTAGCAGCTGAAGCTCTGCATTGGGAGTTGTATGGCTGTGTCACAGGTTTCCTGGTGTTTGGGGAGGAGGAGGCATGGTTCTGTGGCAGGGAAGGATCCCGTTGCTATGAGCTGTTCTTTTTTTTTTTTTTTTTTGAATCTGTCATTTGGCCATTGCTGTCTTGTTCTCTTCTTTCATCATTCATGTTTCTTGTTTTTTCCCGAAATAAAGCTTACATTTTATAAAACCGTCTACCTTGTTTAGATCCTCCAGAGCATATAGTAGATATTTTATAAATATTTGGACTAAAAGACTCAGAATTTCTTAGTGTAAAACTTCTGAGAGTCATCCATTCTTTGATGCGATAGATGAAAAAATGGATCCAGAGAAGTCTAGATGGCTCTTCCAGGTCTCGGATCTTCTCTGCTACCTTTTTTGCACACTCCTTTGCTTTGGTAGGGGTATGGCCCTGTATAGGTTTAAATAAAACATTATGGATTAAATTTACACATACAGATCAACTTAAAAGTAGATCCACACAAGCATGTCTCGCATGTACACTATATTCTAAAAGCTAATGCATCATCTTCAAAGAATAGGGATAATTCCATTTTTACTTGAAGCTTCAGCTCTTGTAGTTGATAAAACAAAATAAAATTTCAGTGTGAAAAATAGTTATGCTGAGGAAAGATGTCTTCAGCTGTTCTATCCATGATATATTCCAAGTGCTTATCACAGTGCCTGACAGAGAGGTGGCATTCAGTAGATCCTTGAGTTCACTGAATAAATGAATGCATGAATGAATAAGGGAAGAAGGAAGAGAAGGGTGGTAGGTGGAATGACGGAAGGTTTGATGACCATTTCTGCGTTTGGTTTTCAAAATACATTTTTCTAACCACAGTGACCATGCTCTTGGGTAGGTGGTAATGGTGGCATTAGTTGCCACCCCTCGGCTGTTCTTCCAGTAGCCATTGTATCAGAGCAGCCTGCAGGTTCCTGCAGTGCCAGCTGTAGCTGTTTCCTGGGAGGCAGGATGTGACTGTTATCCAGGGAACCTGTTTTGAGGGCCTCAGGAATGCTTTTTCCTTTATTTGCTCTCAACACTCCTTTTCTTTTTGTACTCTCAGTTGTCCTCTTATAGACTAGTAGTAGAGAGATAAATTAGCAGGGTCCCATTGCAGGAATATCCATGCATATCTTCCTTTCTCTTGTATTGGCAGTGGAAACAATTTATTAAACTTATGAACAGGATGAATTTTTATTTCATTTCTGTTTTTCTGTTGTGCCTTTCCTCTTCGGCATTGTGCCACAGTGTCATCTAGTCTAGCAAGAGTTTCTGGTATGGCTTTTGTCTCTGTACTCTAGGGAACCTCTTGAGCTTTTCCATTCTGGCTCTGCTGATTTCTTTCTCCAGTTTTGCATCCATCACATGCACAAAATAATGCAGGCCTAGGATCAAAATTTTCATTTCAGCTGTGTGTAGAAGTGAAAACATCATATTTGGAATCAGAAAAAGTGAGTTTAAATATTGCATCTATAATAGACTCATTGCATTTTTTGGACAATTACTTTGTATGTAGAGCTTTTAATTTTTTTGGAACTTTGAAATTATGGATTTTTTGCATGAACTAATGAAATAATGGAATATCTTCCTACTGGATGTAATATACATGCTTAGTAAGTGTTAACTTAAAATTACTTTTATAAATTGAAATTTTTATGGAAATCATTGTAGAGTCACATGCAGTAGTAAGAAAAAATAGAGATAGCCCTGTGTACATGTTACCCCATTTCCCAGAATGCTAACATTTTACAAAACTATAATATAATATCATAGCCAGAATAGTGTATACGTACAGTTAGCTTTGCACAATTTTGTTACCTGAATAGGTTTGTGTATCCCCCACCACAGTGAAGATGCTAAACAATTCTACCAACACAAGGAGCAGTGATGTTATCCTTTCGTAAGCAAACCCATCTTCCTTCTGCCTCATCTTCCTCCGTTTCTACCCCTGGCAACCACTAATGTGTCCTCCATTTCTAAAATCTTAACATTACAAATTATTACATAAATGGAATTATAGAGTACTTGATCTTTGGGGATTGATGTTTTTCACTCAGCATAGTTATCTGGAGGTTCACCCAAGGTATTAGGTACATCAATAATTTGTTCCTTTTTATTGCTGAGTAGTATTTCATGCTGTGGATGTACCACGGGGTATTTAATTATTCACCAGTTGAAGGACATCTGGACTGTTTCTGTTGTTTGGCTACTATGAAGAAAGCTTCAGTAAATATGATGTGCACAGATTTTGTTTTTTTGAGATGGAGTCTCGCTCTGTTGCTTAGGCTTTAGTTCGGTGGCATGATCTCTGCTCATGGCATCCTCTGCCACTCAGGTTCAAGCCATTCCCCTGCCTCAGCCTCCTAAGTAGCTGGGACTATAGGCGCATGCCAGCACGCTCTGCTAATTTTTTTGTAGTTTAGTAGAGATGGGGTTTCTCCATGCTGGCCAGGATGGTTTCCATCTCCTGACCTCATGATCTGCCTGGCTTGGGCTTCCAAAGTCCTGGGATTAAAGGCATGAGCAGATTTTTATATGAATGAAAGTTTACATTTCTCTGGGATGAATCTCCAAGAGTACAATGGTTAGCTTGTGGACTTAGCATCATGAGTCATTGTCCCCTGCTGAGATAGTTTTCATTCTATGTGTAAATGGAGGTCAAAATAACATTCATGTGGAGCTTTTAAATGATAGCCTGACAACTGACACCTTTAGCCAATATATCAGATTAAGAAAATTGATAACTCTTTCACTGTTTCTTTCTTTTTAGCCTTAATTTCTCTGAAGTGGCTGCACCATCTCAGAAAAGTCCATCATTCTTAGAACCTCCAGGCATGTAGGCCTTTTCCTCTTCTCTGGCTTCTCCAATGATCAAGGAATAGCTAAAGCCCTCTTGATTTTGCCACTGGAAATTTTTACATTATTTTCCTCTTGATTCATAGCTCTGCTGTCTGATTTTCAGTTAGCCACTTCATTATTAATAGGCTCTCTTTCCTGGTATCTGTGTCCTAAAGTAGAGTCTTCTGCAACCTGGTCACAGCTGACCTTTGTGGCAGTAGGTCCAAATTCTCCCCTTGATGGCCATGGTCACGCCCACCTCACGGACTTCATATGTGCCCAGGACTGAACCTGGTCCTCTTCACACTGTTAGTTCCTTCTCATCCTGCAGCTATTAGCCCAATTCTCACCTCCTCATGGGAGGTCCTCCTGGTGTATGTTCCTCTAGTACCCTGTACTCTGCCTTCATAACACTTAAATTGTCTTATTTTTTCACCTGTATTATTATTTTTATTATTATTATTCAAATTGTATTATTTTTCAACTTACTACCCCACATGGTCCAGTGTGGTCAGGAAGTCACCTTCAGAACTTCAGAAATATTGCCTAAAGCAACCTAAATGTTAACGTTTTCTCTTGAGGGAAAACAACCACAATCCAAATGTGGGTATGGCAGTGGGTTTAACATGTAGTGTAACCTTAAAAGTCTTCTTTAGACTTTGTTTCATGTTCAGGATCTCTCACAAGCTTGAGTATGGCTTTGTGTGGGGAATCCTTTGCATTTGCTGAAACTGTTGGAGAGGGAACCCCAGAAACTCTTCTATAACATGTCCCTGTCTCCCACCCAGGCAGCTTACTCACAAGTTGCCGTCTGTGCCAACTCACTAGCCTGTGAGCTTCTTGCTTTTCCTACAGTGTACATGTCATCCTCCGCAACTCCATAAAGTATCCTTCACTATGGGTTTTCTAAGTTGGGATTTTGTCTAATCCATTCACTACCTATTGACCTCCCTGAAGATTGGGGTGGGGTCTTACCTACCTTTGTAGTCTAAAACCTGGAACATTGAATAGCAGATGTTAGGCACATGAATGAATGAATTAGTGAAAGAATAAAGGAAATTATTTATAAGAGCCTTATATATAGGAGATATTTGGTAAAAGCCAGACAAAATGAATATGTAAATCTTTCTTAATTTTCTAGGTGATTTTTGAAGTGATAACTTCTGGACATCAAGGCTATCTCGCTATCGATGAAGTGAAGGTGTTAGGACATCCATGTAGTAAGTTGTCTTTACTTGTAAATATTTGGGTACATCATTGGGGGCATATTTACATTATGAATGAAGAGAAGCGTTGAAAGCCTGCAAAGAAGTCATCCTGCCAAGGAAGTTCTCTGACAGGTCTGTATGTTTTGGTTTGCCAGTCCAGAAATCCAAAAGCATATACTTAATGTAAATGCTATGGCTTGTGTATGTCTAAGTATTTTAAAGTGTGGGTCAGGAATGGGGAATGAAGGAATTCTTTGGCATGCTCAGACATCCTTGCAAAGAACTTGTTTATTTGTTGCCATGGCCTTTCGCATTCTCTTTTCAATTGTAATACAAGGTTAAGTATTAAGAGTCTGTGCATTTTGTTCCTAAGTCTAGTATGTTTTTGGCATGGTTCCTTAGTATTTGTCACAGTTTCAAATGTTATAGCTGCAAACAGGCCTGGGATCTGTCAAACATAAGATACCTGCCTATATCACCTGGGGACCCTAGAAATGGCCTGTTCTTCATCTTTTAAAAATTAGTACTTTAAAAAAGTACAATGGGTGATAAGCATACAATTTAAAAAATATCTACTATGAACAACTAACAATTTGTCATGTTTGTATGTGAACCTTTTTTCTTAAATAAAATAGTGCGGATTGCTAGATCTATTTCTTTCCAGACCCCGCCCCCCGGGGGCCACCACTATGATGAGCTGGTTGTTGGACCTGTTATGGTTTCTAGTCTGGACGCAGCAGCAGACTGTAGCTGCATGAAGCAGAAAAGGGATCTTATTGAAAGAGAATTGGAGGACAGTGATATCCCTGAGAACTCTTGTGGTCTAGACTCAGATGATGAGCAGGCCCCCAAAGTTAGGCTATGCAAGCAGCCACAGCAACCACTATGGCAGGGGAGCCAGCTGTGAGAACATGGGCAGCTGGCACTGTGCCTGTGCCCACCTTATGCTTGAAAGATGACCCTTGCCTAGACATTCTGCACTGACTCTGGGTCTTGGCTTCTTTGGCCTTAGATGCAAAGCCCTGAGGGGGATATCAGGGTAAGTGAGCTAGATCATGCTTATTCATGCCTTGCAATTGCTGTGACTAGGAAAGTGAGTTGTTGGCTTTTCCCACTCTGGCAAGGGAGCCGGGCCTCAACTTTTACCAAATAACATACAGTGCCAAGCAACTGAACACTGCAAATGTGTGTGTGGGTGTGTGTGCGTGCGCACATGTGCATGTGTGCTGTTTCCCATAATCCTCATGGGTTTATAAAAGCAAAAAAGTAAGGATTGCCTTTTATAAATGCTAATGGTTTCAAACCATACACATTTCTTTGTATTCTAATTATTTTTTACTTAGTATTACATTTTTTAGGTTAATCCATGGTGTTGTGTCATATATACTACATTCTATTTTTTCTAGTATTTTATGAACATTTAATGTTTCTTCCCAGTTTTTCTCTATTAAAATAGTACTACCGTGAGCCTGGTGGATACACCTCCTGGCGCAGTGTGTGAGAGCCTCAGTGGAGTGTGTTCTTAGAGGCTGAATTGCTGGGATGTGGTGCAGACACATTTTTAGTTTTACTGGATGCTGACAAAATGCTATGAAAGGTATCTGAACTAGTTTATATTATCACCAGCAATGCATGGTAGTTTTATTTTCCCTGTATCTTCCTTCAAAATTGATGTTGTCAGACTTCAAATTTTTGGCCATCTGAGGGATGGTAACCTGCTTTACTTTTAGAATCTCTGGTATTAAAGAGAAACTGGCTAGTTTATACATTTCATGGGTCTCTCCTGATGAACCCTACCCAAAATTATGAAAGAACGGTTATATCTACAATAATAAAAATGGAAACATTTGCAGGGCTGGCTCAGCTTTTTAGTACATGGATTCAAGTAGATCACCAGGACCCTCTTTGTAGGTTTTTTAGAGAAGGCCTGTGATGAAGAAGGTATCATGACACAGTTGCCTAAATTCCATCAAAGGGGTTTTGCTCTCTCTGATATCTCTATTTGGTGCTCTGAAGCTTGCCAAACATTGAAGTTAATATAAAGCAGTCATTCGTTCATTGCAAAGGTACGTGTTACTTTTGTGTCATGTTATATTTGTCTTTCTTCTGTTGTCAGCAAGACTGGGGAGTTCAGGAAGATTCCCTGTACCCTCCCATTTCCTGAAAAGGCAGGAAAACTGTTAAGACTGTACCTAATTGAAACAGCAGGGCAAATTTAGGAAGCAGAATACAATTACCTGAGCTGGAACTCAGCCAGATCCTCAGAGTAATAGCCTCCAGCTAGAAAAGTGCCATGAGATCTTCTAATATGCACAAAGTTCATGGCCTCTGATTCACTTCTTACTAGAAGGTTAAAAAAAAAAAAAAGATCCAGTAACTGCATGCTGAGCACTCTAATGACATATGCTGCCTCCATGTTTCTTAAAGCAGACCTCACGGCAAGGTGGATGTACTGAGTGCAGGTGCAGTGGCTTTCTATTACGTATCCTGGGCTCCTTTCACATCTGGCCAGTGGCCAACATAATAGCTCCTGAAGTGTAGCCCCTTCCATTCTACTGGATTTTAGTCATTGTGTTCAGCAAAGACCTAAAGACTTCATGCTTATCAGTGCCTTCCTAAAATGTCATACAATTTTGTTCTTCCCATAGGAGACAGCTTCCTATGGCCATAGAAATGGTGTTTATGTTCTCTTCTTTGGAGAATACCTGTGCTAGTACATAGTTGGCTTTGGGAACTGCTGTTAGGAGGCACAGAATTGCAAAACAGGCTCTGTACCAAGGTGATGTATGGTACAACAGCGTTGTGAACTGTAAGCCTTAAATGATTTTGATGATAGCTCTGCCATAGTTATTTTTTCCTGAATCTCTAAGTTAATGGGGAAAACATGCAAATAAAGATTTTAAGGAAGGCAATAGTTTGTTCTCAAAATGGAAAGCTTTACAGGTAATATTTTATGAGATTTCTTATCAGGATTTCATAATAATCAATTATTTTGAAATTTTGATGTTCATTAAATTTAAATCCTAAAGGAGCATACATATTTTATATCTAAAACTATGCTTTCCAAATGACTGCAAAATTGCTGAATCTCATTTGCTTCACTGTAAAGGCTCTTATTTGGATTCATATAGGTTTATGAGTAGGCATTACAACATTTTTTAATATTAGATATTCTGATACAAGTATACAGTTGCTCATAAAATTGACTTTAATGTAGTGACAATAAGATGCAAGATCAGCCTGAATTGTGGAGATGGCTCTGCAGAATCAGCAGCTCTCTAGCATACGACCACTTCTAATAAACAGATAATTTTTGCATTTGGTATGCACACTAAAAACATATTTGGAATTTGGTTCAATAATCCTGCTAAGAAAAGAAGCATTTTATTATAATAGCTTCCTAATGTTGTCTCCTGTTTTTGAATATATTATAAGCTATGCATTTATGGGCATTTCTCTTATTACCTTGTGGTACTGATAATGTATTTTTATGTCTGAAAAGCCATATATAATTTTAATAGATTTATTGACCTATCACTCACATAATCTATCCATACTTAAAGTGTACAATTCAGTAGTTTTTAAGTGTATTCACAGTTATGTAACCACCACCATAATCAAATTTAAAATACCTTAAACATCCCCCCAAAGACCCACTACCAATTAATAGTCATTCTTCATTTTCTCTTATTACCCATGGAGGGTGTCCAGGTTCGTGGTGTCTTGCACAAATAATTGGACAAAACACACAAATAAAGCAAGGAAAGAATGAAGCAACAAAAGCAGAGAGTTATTGAAAATGAAAGCACGCTCCGCAGGCTAGGAGCAGCCAAAGCAAGTGGCTCAAGATCTCAGTGACAGAATTTCCTGGGGTTCAAAATACCCTCTAGAGGTTTCCCATTGGTTACTTGGTATACACCCTATGTAACTAAAGTACTGACTGATGATTAGTCTGATTGGTTGTGGGAAGGGACCAATCAGAGGCTGAAGTGAAGTTACACAGTCTGCAAACATTTGATTGGTTGCAGAAGGTGATCAATCAAGAGGCTGAAGTGAAATTACAAAGTTATGCTCCTATGCAAATGAAAACTTGGCTCAAGATCAGCCTGATTGGTAGTGGGAGGGAACCAGTCATAGTACTTTCAATTTTTAAACTGTCCAGAAAATGTTGGGGGAAGCAGTGTGCAAAGGAAGTAGCTTGGGTCCTTTTGTCACTTGGATGTGGAAAGTTGGGGTTCTCCTTTTGATTTAGTTCTAGGAAGTGAGCATTATTCGGCTTTAGATTCCCTGCCTCTAGACCCTATTCTCCTGCCTCACTATGACCACCACTTCTAACCCTAGGCAACCATTAATTTACTTGTTTTCTCTGTAGATTTGCTTGTTCTCCATATTCATTTAAATGCAGTCACACTATATGTTGTTTGTGTCTGGTTTCTTTCACTTACCATGTTTCAAAGTTCATCCATGTTGTAGTGTATGTCAATATTTCACTCCTTTTTAAAACCAAATAGTATTTTACTGTATTGATATACCACATTTTATGTAAGCATGCATCAGATAATGGACATTCAGGTTGTTTTCCCCTTTGGGCTATTGGACAAAATGCACAAACAAAGCTAGGAAAGAATGAAGCAACAAAACCAGAGATTGGGAATAATTAGGACTAATGCTGCTGTGAATATTTGTTTTCAATTCTCTTGGATATGATTCTCTTAGAAATATACTTAGGAGCAGAATTTCTGGGTCACATTGTAACTGTTTTTAGAATTTTGAGGAACTGTGAAATTGCTTTTTAAATTGGATGCACCATTTTCCATGTCAAAGAGTAGTGTATGAAAATTTAAAATTTTCATATTCTTGCAAATATTTCTGTCTTAAAAAAAAAAAACAGCCATCCTTGTGGATTTGAGGTGGCTTCTGTTTGTAGTTAGGATTAGCTAATGGTAATGATGTTAGGCATCTTTCCATGTGCTTATTTGCCATTTATATGTATTTTTGGGAGACATGTCTAT